GTATTTAGTTTTCGTCTAAGATGATGTTGACTGCATAAATATTATTGTGAAGAGAGGCATTATGTTGTAAGGTCACTAGGAGTATGGGGAAATGTCTTGTGTTTCACTTTGAAATTATCTCTCTGACTCTATAAAATCCCACTTCAGTCCTATCCCAAATGAGATAAAATGAGGGACCTCCTCCTAAGGGGCCTTTTCACACTGAAAGCCTCAAAACCAGCAGTAACCTTAACCCTAACTCACTGCTATTTACATTAAGAAGGGGATTTTAAACCAAGAGAAGAGTATTTTGAGAGAAAATATTTCACTCCTTAGGAAATGTATCTCTTCTTACAGCAGAAGGGAACACTTGAGCAAGATAGATTTATTTTTTATTTTACTAATGGAACTCTCTAATCTGGGATATCCACTAGTCAACTGTTAGCTGCTCACTCCTTCCTCCTGCTCCTGATCTCATAGATCATGCACCATAGAATAATAGAGTGGAAAGGGACCTTGGAGGTCTTCTAGTCCAACCCCTTGCTCAAACCTATACCATTTCAGACAAATGATTATCCAATCTCTTTTGAGAGCCTTTAGTGATGGAGCACCCACAACTTCTGAAGGCAAGCTATTCCATTGGCTGATTGCTCTCATTGTTAGGAAATTTCTTCTTACTTCTAGGTTGATCCTCTTCTTGATTAGTTTCCAACCATTGCTTCTTATCTTGCATTCGGATGCTTTGGAAAATAGCTTGACCCTTTCATCTTTGTAGGAGCCCCTCAAATATTGGAGTATTACTATCATGTTACCCCTAATCCTTCTTTTCATTAGACTAGACATACCCAATTTGTATAACTTCATATGTGTTAGCCTCCAGCCCCCTAATCATTTTTTAACTTCTCTGTATCCTTTCCATTTTTTATAATGGGGTGACCAGAATTGGAAGCAGTATTTCAAGTGTGGACTTACCAAGGCATAATAAAGTGGTTCTAGAACTTCGCATGATCTTGATTCTATATCTTTATTGATGCATTGGCTTTTTTGGCTGTTGCTGCACAGTATTGGCTCATATTAAGTGACTGTCCACTAGGATAATCTGCGAACATCTAGAAACAAATAAAGTTATAGCTAGAAGCCAGCATGGGTTTGTTAAAAACAGATCATGCCAAACCAAATTTATTTTATTCTTTGACCAAGTGACTAAATTAGTAGACCAGAAAAATGCTGTGGACATAATATATTTACATTTCAGCAAGGCATTCAACAAAATAGACCACAATTTACTTCTTGGAAAGCTAGAAAAAAAGTGGGATAGATAGCATCACCATCAGATGGATTTGTAACTGGCTGACAAACCGTACTCAATGAGTTGTCCTTAATGGTACTACATATACATGGAGGGAAGTAAGCAGTGGGGTACCAAAGGTTCTGTCTTAGGCCCAGATTCTTCAATATCTTTATAAATGATTAAGATGAGGGAATAGAACTTATCAAATTTGCAGATGATACTAAGCTGGCACAAATAGTCAACACCCTAGATGATAGGCTCAAGGTCCAGATGGATCTTGACAGACTTGAACACTGGACCCTATCTAATAAAATGAAATTCAATGTAGAGCAGGGGTATCAAACTGGTGATCCGCAGGCCAGATGCATTATGCCCCCCTGGCTCCGCAAAAGGAAAAAACATCATGATACATCATGATACATCACGTGATATGATTGAGTTTGACACCTGTGATGTAGAGAAAAGTAAAGTCTTTGTCAGGGCCCACTTCAAAACCTCATCCTAAGAAAGCAGTACTCATGGAAGCAGTTTCTTCCAAAAGGAACTTTTATTAGGAGAAGGTGACAGCAGGTATAATAGACAGGATCTGAGGGTTTCCTGCTCAGACCAATAGGTTAAAAGAGTACCCAGAAAACCCCACCCCAATAGTTCATTCGGTCATTTTGAACAGGCCAATCCTCAAGTGTTAAGACCATTGTGGGAATGAGCTGATAACACCGGTCTTTCCCAGGCTCGTAGCAATGTTGTTGGGGCTTTGCACCTTCCCTTCTAAAATGGGAGATAAGTCAGATGTCCAGAGGCACATTCCTTTCTCACCCCAAGAAAACATCAAAGGAGAGACAGTTCAAAGAGCAAGTATGCAGAGACAGCAAAAGGGATACATTGTAGCAATAGAGAAAAACAAAGAGATAGCCCACAGCGTGTTCCCCTCCTCCCCACCAGGAGTATGACAGAACCCAAAGTAATAGAAGAAATAGAATTAGAAAGAGCCCCCTTAATAATATGGGTTCTGACACTTACCCAAAAGTATACATATAGATTAGTTGAAACCAGGCTTAATAGCAGTAAATGTGAAAGGGATCTTGGAGTCTTAATGAACAATCAACTAAATATGAGCCAACAGAATGTGGCGGCAGCCAAAAAAGCCAATGCAATCCTAAATTGCATTAACAGAGCGATTCCATCAAGATCACACGAGGTACTAATACCACTCTATAAAGCCTTAGTAAGACCACACCTAGAATACTGCAACCAGTTTTGGTCTCCACACTATAAAAAATATTTTGCGACTCTAGAAAGGGTACAGAGAAGAGCAACAAAGATCATTAGGGGACTGGAGGCTAAAACATATGAAGAATGGTTACAGGACCTGGGCATGGCTACTCTAGTGAAGAGAAGGACCAAGGGAGACATGATAGCAA